GCTGCTGCTGCTGCTGCTGCTGCTGCAGCTGCAGCATCATCTGCTGCAGCAGCAGTATCATGAGATTGCTGCTGCTGCTGCTGCTGCTGCTGCTGCTGCAGGCTGCTGGGGTCGCCCACGCCGTTTGGCTGTGGATCTGCAGCAGCCTGAGTTGCAGCTCCCTGCTGCTGCTGCTGCTGCTGCTGCTGCTGCTGCTGCGGCAGCAGCGGCAGTGCAGCAGCAGACAGCAGCGCGGGATGTGCTGCTGAGAGCTGCGGGGGTAGAGGTATATTAGCTAGTGCAGCAAGAGAAGCAAATCGGTTTGCTGCTGCTGCTGCTGCTGCTGCTGCTGCTTGCTGCTGCGGGCAAGAGGAGCCACCAAACAAACCCGAAGACCCCCCCCCTGCTGTTGCTGCTGCTGCTGCTGCTGCTGCTGCTGCTGCTGCTGCTGGCAACCCAGGCAAACCCATACCCTCCAGTGCTGCTGAGGAGACAAAGGGACTGTCTCCTCCATAGTTTAAACAATCCGGCAGCAGCAGCTGCTGCTGCTGCAGCTGCTGCTGCTGCAGTTGCTGCTGCTGCTGTAACTGTTGCTGCAGCTGCAACTGCTGCTCTAGTTGCTGCTGCAGTTGCTGCTGCAGCTGCTGCTGCAGCTGCTGCTGCAGCTGCGGTGAGAATGCCCCTACTGCAGCACCAAAATTTGTGTTTAGGCCGCAAGCATCATCAGCACCTGCTTCTGCTGCTGCTGCTGCTGCTGCTGCTGCTGCTGCTGCTGCTGCGCCATCAGATAAAACTGCAGCAGTATCTGAGCCGTTGTCCACTGTTGAGGAAGCTGCTGCTGCTGCATCGGTTGCTGCTGCTGCTGCTGCTTCTGTCGCTGCTGCTGCTGCTGCTGCTGCTGCTGCTGCTGCTGTGTCTGCTGCTGCAGAGTCATCGGTGGCATCTGCCACTGATCTTGCTGCTGCTGCTGTTGCTGCTGTTGCTGTTGCTGCTGCTGCTGCTGCTGCTGCTGTTTCTGCTGCTTCAGGGAGGCTGCTTCTCTCCACGCTGGAAGGGGCGGGAGACGTTGCTGCTGCTGCTGCTGCTGCTGCTGCTGCTGCTGCATCTGCAGCTGCAGCAGGAGATGCTACGATATCCTGCTGCTGAGGCGCCTGTTCCCGTTGCTGCTGCTGCTCCAGCTGCTGCTGCTGCTGCTGCTGCTGCTGCTGCTCTTGCGGCGGAGAGCATGCTGCTGCAGCATCGAGGGCCGACTTTGCTGCTGCACCGGCGGCAGGTTCAGCAGCAGCTGCTGCAGCAGCAGCATGCTGCTGCTGCTGCTGCTGCTTGCTGCTCTGCCTGCACCGCCTCGGCTTCTGCAGCAGCAGCTGCTGCTGCTGCTGCAACTTGCTGCTGCGCCTGCAGCTCATTGGCTTCAGCAGCAGCAGCAGCAACTGCTGCTGCTGCTGCTTCCTGCTGCTCCTGCAATGCGTTTGCCTCTGCAGCAGCAGCTGCTGCTGCTGCTGCTGCTGACTCTAGTGCTGCTGCTACTACACGCTCCCTAGCGGGTGGAGGTACCGCTATCTGCTGGAGCATCTCTCTTCTATCTGCTGCTGTTGCTGCTGCTGCTGCTGCTGCTGCTGCTGCTGCTGCTGCTGCTGCTGCTAGCAGTCATGAGGAGGTATCTGCTGCAGCAGCAGCTGCTGTTTTCCGTTTGCTGCTGCTGCCCCCCTCCTGAGCTGCATGCCTCAATTGCTGCTGCTGCTGTCACCAGAGCAGCAACCCGCCTGCTCCTACAGCTGCTGCTGCTGCTGCTGCTGCTGCTGTTGCTGCTGCTGCTGCTGCTCCCGAGGACGGGGAGTTGTGGTCTGCTGCTGCTGCCAACTGCTGCAGCAGCAGCAGTTCAGGTCGGAAATGAAAAAATACTGCTTCTACTGTTGCAGCTGCTGCTGCAGCTGCTGCTGCAGTTGCTGCTGCAGCTGCTGCTGCAGCTGCTGCTGCTGCTGCTGCTGCTGCTGCTATGCAGCAGGTAGAGTGAAGGGTCGGGAATTTTGCTGCTGTGTTGCTGCTGCTGTTGGAGGCGGAGGTGTTTATGCTGTGCTGCAGCAGCACCAGCAGCAGCACCACCGCCAGCAGCAGCAGCGGCGCTGCAGCAGCAGCAACCGCAGCAGCAACCACAGCAGCAGCAACAGCAGCAGCAGCAGCCACCAAGCAGCAGAGCAGCACGCTGCTTAAGGAAGCGATCCAGGGTAAGAGGCAGCAGCAACAAATCGTTATACTGATAGAGTAGCAGCAGTCTATGGCTGTTGCTGCTGCTGCTGTTGCTGCTGCAGTTGCCGCTGCTGCTGTTGCTGCTGCTGCTGTTGCTGCTGCTGCTGCAGTGGTGCTTTTGTGTTATATGTTGCTGGAGACAGTTAATAAAAAAGCAGCTGCAGCAGCAGTCTAGGGTTTAGGGTTTAGGGTTTAGGGTTTAGGGTTTTGCTGCAGCAAGGGGTCGCATGCACCGCTGCAGCAGCAGCAGCAGCAGCAGCAGCAGCAGCAGGCA